TTGGCCTATTTTAACGTACTTTACCCCTAGGATCAGATAGCTATGTGGTGGTAAAAGGATTATATTTGACCCTTTTGGTCACAGAAGGGTATCTATTTTAGATGATATCTAAAATGGACAGTTTGGATTTTGCTTCTCCTTTCCTGCCATCAGGTTCTACCAGTAGCCTCAAGTACGATTACTGAATGTCTTATATATCACCATGATATCCCATATAATAATGTTTCTGACTGAGGAACTCACTTCACAGAGAAAGATTAAGACAATGAATGCTTTGGGATCCGCTGGTCTTATTATATCCCTCATTACCCAGAAAGAGCTAGTTTTATAGATTAATGACTCAGAGTGGCAGCTGAGAGACATTACTTGGCAAGGCTGGAGTGCTATCGTGTAGGATGAGGTGTATGCTCTGAGCTAGAAATCATTAAATGATACTATTTTTCTCACTGCCAGAATATACAGTTCCAGGAACCAAGTAGTCGGTGTGTATGGATGTCTTTTGCAATCATAGCTAATGAACCACTTGGAAAATTTTTGTTTCCTGTCCCTGTAACTAGCTCTCCTAGTTTGGAGGCTTAATAGCCGAGAGATGTAACAATTTACTTGGAAGCTGAAACAGCCATATGGCCATTTGGGGCTCTCATACTACGGGATGAACAAGCAAAATGTGGTCATAGGATAATTTAGGTGCTTGATCCTGATGAAAAAATTGAGCTTTTGGTGCACAATAAAGGAAGGGAAAAATCTGGATGGCCCCCAGACAAATCTCACACCTGTATCCATTTGAAAAATTAATCAAAGCAAAGCCCTACATATTAAGCATATACAAAAACCACAATTTTCAGTGTCTCAGGACTATGGGTTTTGGTTACTTCACTGGATAAAGAATATTAGTTTAGGAGCTGGCTGAAGAAGTGTAGGTGATAGATGGTAGAGAACATAAATTACAAATATGTTTGATCCCCTCATCAGTTGCAGAAACAAATCCTGTGGCCTCTACCTTGCTTCCTTGCAATCTCATATATGCACTAACATATTTTAACTGATGTATTTTATATATTTCAATTAATTTTGTTTCTCTTTCCTCTCCCTATCCTCCACTGTTGAACATAACATGTTGTGTTGATTGTGGGTAGCTTTATAATTTAGTCAACTGGCTAAAGAATATTGAGATGGGATTGCAAAAGAACCAGAAGGTGACTGGATATAACCAAGAGATCTATAATTAATGGAGTCAATGATGAAATTTTTGGTTGACTCCCTTGGGAAGTGTGGATTTGGGATATATGAGTGAGAATTGCACTTTTAGGGGAAATTTTTTTATTTTTATTTTTTTTTAAGTATAGGTATGAAGAGGATGGTGGATGAATGGGTTTGGCCATCTAAAGGAATGCAGTGTATCTTTGCTATTTGTGGACACCCAGTGTCTGAACATCTCCTAGAAGAAAGGCCAAAGAGGGGAAGACAGTCCCTATTCTTGTTGCATGCTAGAGACTGAAGCTCAGGCATTCTGAGGTTTCGGTCTTGGGTTTGAAGCTTGACAGAGTGATGCAAATGCCCAACAATATTCTAAGGTTAATGGTGGAAGTGGTGGCTGTCAAACTCAGAATCCAAACGGCATGGTAGCATATGCCCACAAACTTCTGAAATCACTGCAAGAAGTCTTCATAATGGCAAATCTAAAAGGGATAACTTGGAGCTTCGTGATACTGCACTATGATTTCACATCAATGATACACTTGAAGGGGTCTTTCTGTGTCTTAATACTTTGAGAGTTTCCTGGGTTAAGAAGATAGATGGATAACTTGTCTTGCTTTTGCTAAGAATTAAAATAGTGCACGTACGTTCTTCCTGAGTCATATTCTTTCTCTCCATCTTCAGATTTGTGCTAGCTTTCTTTTGTTTCTCCTCTTCTCCCCTCCCCTTCCACCTCCATATCTAGGGACACTTCCTGACTTACTGCCAATCAACTGTAGAATGACTCTGATGCTATCCTATTCCACAGGCGCCCTACTCCACAGCTGCCAGGATAATTGCTCCTGGGCTTCCCCTGCCTCCTTGGAATGTTCCAGTTGGCAACACAAGAATCCAGAGTACCTATGTTCTGCCACAGAACACCAATTAGACATTGTACAAGGAGCAGCAGCAGAAATGGCACTTAAACTTCCAGCCCAGAATATGATGCAAAGATTAAAGTGTTAAAAAGTCCTCCTATTTTAAGTTAATTACTTTAGGGGATTTAACAAGGGAAACACCTGCCTTCTAGTAGGTTTGGTAGAATCAGGTTGAATTTACACAGTGTTCAGTTGCAAACCCTCTGACATTTTTATTTTAAAGGTGATTGTTTTTAGAGGCAGGGATAAAACAAAGCCTGGGTTGTCTTCATTTTGGGATGGACTCAGTGAAACTAAATGACATAATTTCTAACTGTCCTACTATGGCAGCGAACCTTTACAAAACAGCAGAAACCATGCAAGTAACATCTATGGTTTCTAATTATTAGGCTTTGTGATAAAATTTTGTGCTGATAAGAAAATACAAAATAGAGAAGTAATTTCATACAATGGCTGAACTGTCCATAGTTCCTTAGGTCTCATGCATTAAAATTAAAGAAAAAAAAGCAGAGTTGTACTGTAGCTGGGAAGAGCACATGAGGTTCACATTTGAGGTGAATGTGAGTCACACATGTGCTAAATGCAGTCCTATATACACTTTGAGCAAACATCCCAAAATGTGTTCAGTAGGTATGTACTTTGTACCCTGACTTCAAAGAAAAGTCTCCATTTGGAACACTTTTAGGAATAAAAAAAAAGAAAAAAAATGCCTAGATCGTTGCGGCACATAAACTAAACTGTCAATATTCCATGTATCTAATTTTCAGCATTTGCCCCCTAAGTCAAGATACTGTTTAGACACAACAGGTGGATTATTTGGGCATGTTAATGAAATAACACAGAACAGGAAACCTTTTGACAAAAGTATTTTGGTCCCAAATTATCTTGTATAAATATTTGGTATACACATATGAGAAATATTAAAGAAGAAATGATGAAACTTCAAAGACAAAATGATAGCTTTCACTCTACTTCAAGGAGTCGTGTGATATCTGTCACATGAAACTAATTTTGAGATTAGCTACTGATTAGTAGATAAGGTAATCTATGGTCCTATGCAAGAACATTTTGAAATATTAACTATTATATACTAATTATATAATATTATATAACTAATAATAGTTAACTAATGTTGATTAACATATTAGTGTAATATATACAGTATCAGCTAACAGGACTACTAATCCTACATGAGTAATGGGGAGTAGAAGGGGGGAAATGCAAACTGTTGCAATACTAGTGGGCTACGAACACTGATTTTACTATTCTTCAGGCTGCATAAGATGAGAGCGGGGAGATATGGAGGGGGAAAGGAGACAATGCAACAATTTTATTACTGATTTTCATCTATTTTTTTCATCATAACTCCGACCAGGAAAACATTATGAAAAAACTGAAAAAGTATGAGAAAGGAAATGAAGAGAGGGAATGTCTACAGTTAGAAGTAGTAAAGGAATCACAAAGAACCATATTCACACACTGTATCGTTCAAATGAAAAGGCCCCAGTGTAAAAAGCTAGTAAAACAAAAAGATAGCCAATGAACTAGCAAAATTAAGTAATAGGGCAGATGAAGGATTAACATGTATAAGTATATGTATATATATAGTAATAAATATAATATGGAAAAAAGTGATATCATATAAAGTTTTAGATGTGCATATGTTTTTCTTTTAAATTTACTAAGGCCCTCACACAAATATATAAGAAAAATGCTTTCCTGCAACAGATAAAGCCCAAAGGAATGAAGAGACAAAAGAGAAAAAGAAGACAATTAGTAAACATATATATGAAAAAAAATGTTCAAGTACACAAAAATCAAAGCATACATTAAAGCATTAAAATAATGAACATTTTATCTATATCAATAAATTACAACAAATGAAAATGTAGTAAAACTGTCTCTTTCTTATACTGCTGATAATTCATACATTAATGGTGATCACATCAAATGGTATAGCTCTTTTGGAAAGTAATTAGCAGTTATATGAAAAGTTACAAAAATGTCCATATTATTTGACCCATATTTTAAGTTTAGAACTCTATACTAAAGAAATAATTCTAAATTAAAGAACTTGTACAATAATAAAGATGCATGATTAATTATCTTAGAAAAATATAACGGAATAGTCACATAATAGAATATAATTATGTAGACAAAACTATAATTGCTTAAAATTTTAATGATGGTTATTACTTGGCTAAAGGATAAAATCAGGTTGTTGAGTTTTACATACGTACTAGTTTTTTAAATCTTTGAAAATGGTCATGGTATTATAGATTTCATAAGAATTTAATTTTACAACAGTGATTATAAGTTCCTTGAAGGCAGAGAGCACTCATTCAAATATTATGAAAACTTAGCTGAATATTAAAATAAATACAGGTGATTATGTTAAAGGGAAAAAATATAGGGATAAATATGGATATAGAACACAAATATTTAGTGGGACACTACTGGAAGAAAATACATAAAAATGTTAATGATGCTCAGGTGGCAGTATTATGCATTTCTTCTTTCCTCTTTTCTTTCCCCAAGTTTCTGTAATTTTACATTAAACTTTTAGTATAGATTAAAACTAAACATAATTAAATACACAGGGTGCCAAAAAATGTATACACATTTTAAGAAAGGAAAAAACCGTATTAAAATTGCAATACTCAATATACACTGATAACAAAAGATGAACACAAGTCACGTTTGAGTTCTGCAATTACAAGAGGTGCTCAAAGTGGTTACCATCAGCATAATTTTAATACAGTTTTTTCCTTTCCTAAAATGTGTGTACATTTGTTTGGCATCCCCTGGTATGTAATTTACATTATACTACAACAGAAACTAATCTTCCATGTATATGAATGAAGTAGAAAAAAACATATTGCTTACCTCTCTTTCATCCATATTCAACCACTGCTTTGGATCTTCTTCAGTAGCCAGAAAGGCTATCAATTCCAAAGCAGTAAGGCGGGTCTGACGTCTTGATGAGACAAATATCAAAACAGGTTTGGCTGGAGAATGGCTTCTAATTGCTGTTGAAAAGTTGTGGAAAATAAAACGGTAAGCCACTTACACCGGAATCTGCATTTTTAGGATATCAAATGCATAAATGAAAGCTAATGTTGTAAATGATTTAAGTGAATTCTTAATTTGGTCATGAAATTTAGCATTATTTGAGGTACTAGATGGATCTGACTGCATATTTTAGAAAGGATAGTAAAGGAAAGGAAGCTGGCCCTACCTAAAAGAGTATATTGCCTGGGATAGGCAAGATTTAACTTTGTCGGTTCCCAGTCCTGTTCTGAGCTGCTGAGAAAGGAGTCATTAAAAGCTGAGACTTTCCATTAATAGCTGTATATAGATACTAAATCTTAGGTTGAGTTGAGTTTTCTATTTCTGAGTTGTGTCATAGCCTGCCTAAGAAATGATATTACAGTGCTAACTCGTCCTGGGATGTGGAGAGAGTCAAGTGCTGCACGGGTGATGAAAAGTCCCTAAGAAAAGCTACAAAAAATTCCTTTTATTTTTGCCCTGTTACCAATAGATGGAAAATTAAGAGGGTTTTTATCAATAAACTAGTAATAGATAAGCCAGAAGAATCTTTTCCTAAAAACATATGTGTAAAGTTTCAAGTGGGAAGATAACAGAATGCAGAAGAGAACTGAAGAGAATACCATGCCTGAATCTCTATCTTATCTGTGTGATGGCACATGGGTAGTTGACACACAGAAGATGAGATGAGTAGTCTGAAAACAAGAATGAAAAAAGAAAATACTTAAAAAGAGCCACAAAAGTCATCTGACCTAACTGGAAATAAGATTTCCAGAGGCTCCAAAATACTGATAAAATGGCATAAGTATACTTACCGTATTTGCCGGCGTATAAGACGATTTTTTGGCCCTGAAAAATATGCCTCCAAGTGGGGGGTCGTCTTATACGCCAGGTACACTTCAGATAGACTGCCCATAGTGCTTGCCCCGTGCCATAGTGGCCTCCCGATGCCCGCCCACTTCATTCCACATATGTCAGGCATCAGCAGCGCTGCTGGGTGTATGCTCGGCTGTTATGCGATTTTGCTGTTATGCGATTTTACCACACTCGCAAAATCGCACACAGCCGACCATACACCCAGTATGATAGCGCAAAATCGTGAATCGCGATACCATACTGGGTGTATGGTCGGCTGTATGCGATTTTGCGAGTGTGGTAAATTCAGGTTACCGTATATTTCTTTACATATGCATTGAAGATTCGCGATTTTGCGCTATCATGGTGCCTGTTAGAATGTTGAAGAGCTCGCACTTGCGCACTAGTGAGGTCCCAGGGAGATGCTGATGCAAGGGTGGACCAGACTGCTATAGTGACAGGGCGGGCAAACAGGGAGCAGGGACCAATCAAATCAGGCTTTGTATACAGCCAACAGCCAACCACAATACTGCACCATTGTACAGTACAGCATAGAAAATGTCGACCAGTCAAACCCCTATCATCCCTATCATGGCACCAGCCAAAAGAAAGAAGTATGATGCAAATTTTAAACTGAAAGTTATAAACTTTGCTAAGGAAAATAATAATTGTGCTGCTGCAAGACAATATGGAGTAACAGAAAAGATGATTCGGGACTGGAAAGCAAATGAGAAAGCATTGAAGAGTATGCCAAGGGGTAAGTGTGCATTAAGAAGAGACACCCCACACTGGCCAGAACTCGAAAAACATGTAGCAGACATGGTGGCTCAACATCGCCAAAACGGTTATGTGGTGACACGAAATACAATACACTTGTTTGCACTTCAGTGGGCCAAATCAAATCTGATATTGTTTTACCTTTTATTTGGTGTGTGGAAGGTGTGCGGAAGAGGGGGTAGTCTTATACGGCGAGTATATAACAAACTCTGTATTTTGAGTGGAAATGTTAGGGGGTCGTCTTATACTCCCAGTCGTCTTATACGCCGGCAAATACGGTATATCTATTAGCTTTCTTATAGCAGCCAGAGATATTTAAAATTTTTATATGGGAAACTTCAACCTGCTTGTAATTTCTTGTTCGAAATGTGAACTGTAGAATTTCTTTCTATGGGCTAAGAAACAAGGTTAATAATGGAAATGCTGACATGACCTTGACTATATTTATACCCTAAGAGTGAGAAATAAAGCTATCATAAACCCATATTTCCAAACTCAAAGAAATATAGGGATCCACTACGAGTATAATGAAATAGTTTATAAAGATATCTCCTGTATCAATACCATATCTAGAGAAGTGTAAGTATTTCAGTTATTTACTGTTGATTTACATAACACAAAATGCTTCATTTTAATCAATGGTATGCAACCAGACATTCCTTACATAGATAGATACAAGAAATCTCAATAATACATACTGTGAAAAATAACTCATTTACCTCATTTCTCACTCACAGTTTATCAGAATATTACAGAATGCAAATGGCAATGCTTTGATAAATCATATTAGAGGTACAAGGTTTTAAATATACATATTAGTACAATATTGGTATCATTTGTACACATAATCATGAATGAATCTGTCTCTGTTTTAAACCTCAACATTTAATGGATTTTTGCTGCTGCAGGAACAGGTGTGCCTGAACAGCTCACGGCAGATTTATTGTTCATTAGTGATTTTGTACAATGCTTCTGTGGAGGTGTAAATAATCTGAACTGCCAAGATTGGTCTCTAGTTCACAATCAATACTTTGCTTCTGTCATAAGGCTAATTACAGCAGCTAAAAAGTCACCTCACAACTGTCACCTCACAATCAACAGCAGTTCACATTACAGAATTTATTTTGGAGGTTATTTTTAATTGATATAATAAATATTCCTTATGCAGCCTAAACATGTTTCTATAAAATAAGAGTGTTATTCTTAAATCTTTCCTGATGCCTAATTTGTTAGAAAGGGAAAAACAAAAAACACAACACAGACGCAGAAGGAAAAAAATTACTGAAATTTGTAAGTTTTATAGTTTCTGGTAAAAATTAAGATGACGTGACTTGGTTTTTACTGTGGCTTCTATTTAACATTTGTTCAAACTACTACCATAAAAAACACCTTAACCCATTTTTAGATTGATTTGACTACTCTTTAAAATTATATGCATTTTTCTACTACAAAGACATTATCATTTATAAATCTAATTTCCAATAGTTAATTCAACATGTATTTATATTTAACAGTTGAGGTACACAGTTTCAGATCTGTGAGAAGTTGGAGCAATATCACCCTCTCAAAGAAATCCAAATTATTTAGAATGCAACTGAAGGACACCATACAAAATGGTTGCTATTCATTCCAAGCATCTGACGCTTACCCTGAAACGTAGGCTTGTTCATACTAGCCATACGAGGACAGTAATGTTGACCTGGGAAACCTTGAATGTGAACTTCCAGTGGAACTGGGCGGACTGATGGTCGGAAGTTGAACAAGCCCATCTGGAGTAAAGATGACAAGAGAAACCATTTTCAGTTTGCACATTTAAGTGTACGATGTTCCAGTGCCTCCCTATGCGGCCACCTAAGCCACACCATTAAATGCCCGATTGCCCATCTTCCACACACCTGACGGATATTGAGCCAGTCGGCAAGGTCCCTGGCATTAGCTAGTGCAGTAGACAGGCCAACTATTCTAACAGGCCTTTCTGTGTGCGACGAGATGAAATTTGTCCGGGAGACAATGACTTCCAGAACAGGCCCTCTCTCCTCCCCTAGGAAACATGGGTAATACACGTTAATCATGGCAACCAGTCTCGACGCTGGCGGATGCAGGCAAGAGAGTCAAAGTTTGTAAAACGGCTTCCGATACAGCGGTACCCACCGAGCAGATGAATCTCATCGATGATGAGAATAGTGACTTGCTTTACGTAGTTCCTATTTTGCCAGCTTCTGCTGATTCCATCCCATTTCTCTGGTGTGGTGACAATCAGGTCAGCTTTGGCAATGGATTTCATATCAGGAGTCACATCCCCTGTTAGCTCAATAACTCTGGAAAGAAATAAAAAGATCCCTTTAACTTTTCAGGTAATGTGACCTCAGAAAGGCAAAATACATCTTTCAAAATAAAATTTTATATTGCTTAAAACTACTTTATCTCCCGTTCTGTGATTTGAAATTTCTGTGATTTGAGTCCAAAATGTTTCTTAAGAATTTTAAGATGATTTCCTCTCATAAAATGAAAGACATATAAAATCAAAACACTGACAATCTAACTTTTATGCAGCCATGAAAAGTGTCAAACTTTGCTTTGATTATGTTTACAAAATCTCTGCCCTATGTGATTATAGAGATGAACTCACATTTCCATGTGCTGGAATAAACACCTTTCTAATGAAGGAAACTGGTAACTTATTAAGACAAAAGGAGGTTCTTGGCTTTTTTGAGAACCACATGATTTCACTGATATGTGGGATATAAAACTGTAAACAACAAAGGAACAAGACAAGCAAATGAAGAAACAAAAACTCATAGCCACAGACAATAGTTCAGAGGTTACCAGAGCGTAAGCGGGGAGGAGGGTAGCAGATGAGGGTAAAAGGGATCAAACATATGGTGATGGAAGGAGAACTGACTCTGGGTGGTGAACACACAATGTGATATAGAGATGTTGTATTATAGAATTGTACACCTGAAACCTATGGAACTTTATTAACGATGTTACCCTAAAAAACTTTAATTAAAAAAAAAGACAAAAGGAGTCATGAATTAAAATATGTTTATGTGTAAGCTTCATTTCTTAGATTGAAATTTTCTATATAAATTACAGGTAAATTCAAACATATTAGAACATGAAGAAGAAAGCTGGATCAAATATGTGCAACCTCATTCTGAGCTAATCCCAGTTTTATAGTAAGAAAAATGGAAATCTGGAAGCTAACTCAAAATTTTAGGAAACCACTAAATCATTTTTACATCTGTTTTAATACTCGACAAACAAAAAGAGGGCAAGATTATCTCCTCCTAGCTATAGTGTTTACAATGTTTTTACTTATTTTTATTCATTTTTACTTTTAGTTATTATTTTGAAAATGTAATGCATTCATATGGTTCAAAGAATGTGTAGTGAATAGTCTCTGTAACATATCTATTCCTGTCATCCAGCTTTCATTCTGAAGCAATCTTATATTCTTCACCATTTTTTTTAAAAACAAAAGGTAGAATACTTATATCTCAAGAGATCATTCTTTCAGTATATAAAGAGCTCTTTCTTTTTTTTTTTTTTTTTTAAATTGGGGAGTTGGGAGAGGGGAACAGTGGTGGGGAACTGGGGAGGGGAACCAGCCAAGTTGTTGTTCTTCAGTCTTAGTTGTGGAGGGCACCAGTCACCATCTGGCTGCCCATTGGCAGCTTGTGGCCTCTAAGATCAAGGTGCTGTGTTCAATCTTAGTTGCGGGTGGGTGTAGCCACCATCCTATGCGGGAGTCAAACCAGCAGCCTTGTTGTTAAGAGCGCATGCTCTATCCACTGAGCCATCTGGGTGGCAGCTCAGCTCAAGGTGCTGAGTTCAGTCTTAATTGCAGGCTGGCGTAGCCCATCACTGAACAGGCAGTCTTGTTAGGAGCACGTGCTCTCACCAGCTGAGCTATCCTGCCACCTGATGGCAGCTCAGCAGCAGCTCAGTGCAGGCGCAGTGTCACTGGCCCAAGTGGGGATCAAACCAGTGGCCCTGTTGCTCAGAGCTCACGCTCATAAGCTAACTCTTAACCAACTGAGCCACTTGGCTGGCCCAAGAGCTCTTTCTTTTACAGAGTGATATTAATACAATATTTTGTGCTGTGTGAATATACCATAATTTATTTAGTAATACTCTATTGGACATTAAGGTTACCTGCAATGTTGCTATTAAAAAAACAATACTACAATGCTTAACCATCTTGTACAATATAAAATATATTTTAAAAAGTCATTTTCTTAAAGGAATTTCTATTGTATGGTACATTATTTACATGTAAAATGCCTTCTAAGCAGTTTTTGGAAGTTACTCTGAATGATATGAAAAGAAATTTTTTTCTTCTTTTTTAGATTTAAAATTTTTGAGAAAATTATCTTGACAATAAAAGTATTAATATTAAATAATTTCAAAATTATACTTTTCAATCTTAAAACAATGGGAATACTGATAACATTTTAGAAATAGTTACAATACCTTTAAATAAAAGACTACAGAAATCATTGTGAAAGCATTCAAATTTTATGCAAATCTTTCATTTGTTGGTTCTTTTAGATTATTCAAAGTATATTTTCTGAAAAAAAGTGACAACTTACTTTTTACCAAGTTTTTCTTCTATTCTAACTTTCCAATCATCCATTCTCTCACGTACTAGAGCTTTTAGGGGTGCAATATATACTGCCTAAATGGGAGAGGGGGGCAAAAAGACTCTCATGAAAATATTGACAGTAAGTTTCAAATAAAGGTAAACCATAAAACTTACCAAAATATGACAATATAGTTTTAAAATGTATATTTTAATATAGAAAGACTTAAAATTTTAAATGGGAAAAAGTCATTAACATACTCAATTTACATTTATCCAAAGTAAGATGGAAATACATCACAAAAATACTAACAGAAAACTTTAAATATTTTCTGAAAAGCACCAAAGGTGATTTTTTAAAGGCATTTTATAATGAAATTATCTTCTAAGACAATGTAAAAAAATAAAAAAATATCATGAAAAATACATTACGTAAAGTAAATTGGGTTCAGATAAAAATAAAAGTTATTCCTGGTATTATGATGAATAGTTATCCGAGTTGTACCTCTTTCACAAAAACATTTACTAATCTTGAAATTCTGAAGAGAATTAATCTGGTTGTTTAAATTTTAGGGTAGATCTTATGGAAGATGCCAGTTGTATATTTTAGGTATTGTACCTTTTATTTACTTTTTTAAAAAACAACTGGTCTTAATCCAAATTTACATATAGGTCATTCACTGAAAACAAAAAATTCTTTCCTTTAAAATGTTTCAAATTTAGAGTTGGGCTCTACTGGAGTATAACACGTCTCCTAATGGATCAATAATCACATAACAGACTAGGACAACTTAAAGCTAAGCAGGGAAGAAGAGCCACTAATTGGAAGTCACTGAAAAAGGAAGTTAAAACATTTCTGCAATCATAAATGATCAGGAAAAGAGCGCCTAATTCCAATCCAACATATGAATTAGCTTCCTTAAAAAATAATGTTTTTAAACTGTGAGCACTTCCTATTTTAAGAATGCTTAAAGTCTAATACTTATTGGACTTGCCATGTCATTTTATATGAACTAAATGCTAATGGAGAAAAGTGGAATAAAAGCTACAGCTACACATCTGCATTGCCTGAGTATAATCAAACGGTATTTGTTACAGTATTAGCATTTCCTTCACAGCCGAAGGATTTGGATTATGAATCATTACATATCTTATAAATATCGCTACAAATTAGGTATCTTACAATGAAATTACCAATAAAGTGTAGATATCTTATAATGATGAAAGGACATTATGTACATTAGAGATCGAATTAGAAGACTCCAAAGTTTAAGGTAAATTTTATTGTGGCTAATTATTTGAATACTGATCTCTGCCTCCTCTGCCGCCTCGAAAACCTTCCTAAGAGAGTTACAAAGCTACTCACTGAGTCCTGCCAATATATTTAGAACTGGTTAGTTCACTGATTATTAAATGCCTTTTCTAGTTGAATGTAAACATGTGATTCTTTCAAACAGACCTTCGAAGTAGGGTACTTGTTGAAGACTCTGAAAATGGCTAATTCAGCTGCAACAGTCTTTCCTGATCCAGTGGGTGCTCCAAGTAGGACATTGCAGTCTGTGTGATACAGTGTATGAAATATTTGTGTCTGCACGGGGTTAAAGTGGCTAAAGTTGTACAGTGCTTCATATGCGTCACACCCCAAAGCTGTGACTGGTAAAGGCTGAAGATCCAGTAATTCTGAAAAGACGCAACAGGTACTATTAAACAATAACCAGGAAACACGCACAACACTGAATACTGTATCTTAGAAATAAATTAGAACAATCCTTAATTCCTTACAGGGTAAATAAAAAAGCTTAAAGTAAATTCTTATATACTAGCTGCAGATATTTTGTCCCCCTGTTACCACATTTACAAGATTGAAACATTGGTCACTTTTCTGGGGGGAGTTCCACATAAACCAGCTATAATGTTATGTCTTTCTTTTCCAATCAGGAAAGTGATTTGAATGACAGGTGTATGAAAACATGCATGTTACAGAACAAAACTAAATTTAACCCAATTTGTAGAAAAATGTTAACCATTTGTAAACTTCAGGACTAGAAAATGGTTACTGTAACAAATTTCTTTTGATCTGTTAGACAACTGATCAAACTAGAGTGGTCAAGTGCACTGTTGCTGTAGCCAAAGAAAACTGAACTGAATTTGTATTATTATAAGTTGGATTTTGATTCAGGTTCAGACAACTTTAAAGCATAGATGCTTTTCAACATTAACTAAAACGACAATTTTGGCAAATCAATGATTCAAGTTACTAATCAATGTTACCTGTATGGGGAGGATGTCTCTCCGGCAGAATCAGATGTTGAAAGTTGATAATACATACAGCCTCAGCGCCTAACCATCTATCAGACACTGCTCGGATGTAGTATTGGGAAGGCAAAGGCTCAAAAATAGGGATTGTAAATACCAGCAGTTGAGCTTCTTTACTAATGACCTAATGTGATATGAAGTTTAAAGTGAAAATGGATATTCTAATATCATAAAGGTCTTATTAGTCTATTGTTAAGACAATAGTACAGCAATATATACTAAAGATAAAGAAAATATCTTAGATTTCTAAATAGCTGAGATATTCAGTCAGGTACTTCAGAAATTTGTGGGTGGTTCCCTTCTGAGGATACTTGATATAACAGAAGGTTAAATTTATACTCAATTTATATTTACATATGCATATCATCAGGTTACCAATTAGACTCATGATCAGAATTCCCCAAACTTTATTCATTCAATTACTTAACAATTACTTAACTGCATGATTTTTACCAAATTATTTACTCAATATTTTTCTTTAAATTCTATCACTATCTTAAGTGGAAAAACAGAACCACTTGGCATACATAGAAGGTAACCATGAAAATAAATGCAATGAAAACAAAACACTGCTATAAAATTCTACTACTGCCCACCCAAGACTCCCAGCCTAAAGCTTGCTTTCTCTTTGATAAAAAGAGAAATTACAAATGAAGCATCACAGTTAAACATGCTAGCATCAAACTGAGAGAATTTAAAAAAGAATGCCTTTTTTACAATGTGATTCAATACTACTAGTACTCTGTTTATGTAACACCTAAAGTTATTATTATTTCTTATTTATTTAACTTACTTTTTATATTATTTATCCCACCCATTTGACATATTCCACCTCTCTGGAAGCAATGCCTCAAACCATGATAAAGATTACAATGCAATTTCTCAAAATAAGATCACACTGAATATATTAATACTGTAACATTTAGTTTTCTTTTAAAACCACACAGAAGTATTAAAAAAAAAAAAGCTTTAACTACACTAGAAGTTATAGAGAAATAGGTAAAAGCAAAATTTGCTAGCTTATATTTTCTCTTTATGATATCAACATAATAAGGATGTATTCATATATATATATTTACCTGTTTTTTAAGAATTAGAAAATACTCTGAATGATAAATATGATCATTTGTAGGATCTTCTACCCAAATCCACCAGGGTTCTCCTACTGTCCCATGAACCTAGAAAAAAAACAGTATCCTAATGCTATGTATATTGTAACTCAACTAAGGTATATTGTTAAACTGATAAGAACAGATACTACACTTGATCTTAGCCAAAAGGCCGAGAAGCGATCAACTAAGGGATATTGTTGTTTGCATACCAAGCACCAATTCCTCTCTCTTGTTATTGATATATTTTTATATAAAAGTTTAAGTTTAAAGTATAAAGTCAATGGTCTTAATGTATTTACAAAGTTGTGAAACCATCTCCATAATATAATTTTAGAATACTTTCATTGCCCCCAAAAGAAACCTGTACCCATTAGCAGTCACTACCTACCTTTCCCCTTTCTCCCAACTTCCAACCCTTGACAACCATAATCTACTTTCACTCTCTATAGATCTGCCTATTCTGGACATTTCATATAAATGGAATCATTTAATATATGATCTTTTGTGACTGGCTCCTTTCACTTACTATAATGTTTTCAAGGTCATTCATATTACAGTGTACATCAGTACTTCCTTTCTTTTCATAGACAAATAATTTTCCATTGGATAGATACCATCTTTCATGTATTCATTCCTCTCTCTCGTTCTTGTTTTTTCCTTAACAAAGCCCAGTCTTATTTTGCATTCTATCTCTCACGTAACTCAGGGGAAGGTGATCCCATTTCCTGGGAAAATACTGTGAAACTTCTGCATTTCAAAAGCACTCCATTAAATATAAAACTTGAAATATGAGTTTATGGCTAACTATAATTTTATATTTTATGTAAAGTTTTTTTATTTATAGAAATATTAAATACGATTTTATATCATCTAGTCCTCACAGAAATTCTGTGAGAAAGATAGTTATTATAATGTTTACAGATGAGGAAACTGAAGGAATTATAGGTTAGAACACTTTAAGACCAATGGTAGATTTGGGTTACCACTATGGCTGGATAATTTTCAAGCATGCTACTGAATAAAATTTATTTATATTAAAGATGTACTGACAAAGCGTGGCTAATGAGTATCTTGTTTATTTAGAGTGATTGGACCATTCAAAATAATCAATCATACTGCATTTGTAATAGTAATTTTAATTGCTTAAAGGTATCTAATTAAACTTGTAAGCAAACTTTAAATACTTTTTAAAATGTGATTTTAAATTAAAATTTTTATTTCTTAAAAAAAAAGATGTACTAATGTTAATGTCATGTAATGTACAAAGTATTTATTTACACTTAACTAGGCCTTACGATAATCATGTAAAGTAGACATTGCTATACTACAATCACTAATTTACTTGTCTTCCTCCACTGGCTTGTTGAAAGGACTGAGTCTTATTTGCCTTGTATCTATAATCTCTACTCTACTGGACTCTCTGCATAGTAACTGGAACAAAGATAGACCTTTAAAAATGTTGACTGAATAAGAAGAGAATCCAGAGTGGATCTTCACACATATATACTATCTAAGGTATTGAAGGAAGAATAGAAGAAGGGGAAAAAAAGAAACAGGAGGGTAATGAGAGCTGAGGAGGACATCTTCAAGGACTATGTATAGTGCTGAATGTTCAGGGAAGTAAAGAAAGTAACTAAGAAAAAGCCACTTATTACGGCAACCAGTCAGTCTTTAGTGATCACTGAGGTAGTAGTCTCAGCAGGGAAGAAACAGGTACTAGGAGGAAATGTAGAAAACTTTACAAGTTTAATGGCAAAGAAGAGAATGATAGTTTGAGAAACATCAGGACTTAAAAAGGGCTGTTTCAGCATGGAGAACCTTGAATTTTTGGTAGGCTGAAATGACAAAATAATTAGAGATGGCAAAAATGAAGATACCATAGAGAAAATGAAAGAAGATAGAATTAAGCGAAGTCCCCACCAAACCATTGCTCAATGTTGAAATTCTAGGTTTGCTAGATGTTCTGAAGAGGTCTCATTGGTTAACATATTAATATATTATACCATGTTTTTCTTGAGCATGAGAGTAAATACTACAACAACGTTTTGAATGAATCTTACATACACACACACACACACACACACACACACACACACACACAAACACATAATGAAAATGTTCTCTATGCCTTGTGGACAGATGTAAGAAGCTGTATTTGAACCTGCAGCAGAGACATTTTTGCTCAACATTGAGATAAATATTTTCCACTTCTACCTGATCATTCCAAGTGAAATCAGCACTGACGCTGAGTGTCACTCGGAGGACAGTCCGTGTGATGGGCTGAATGGATGCTTCCATTGTAACAGAAGGAATCTGATGAACACACTGTTTGACCTTGAGGCCAATATTCACATGATGCAGCATGTGACCTGCAAAGAAAACATCACATAGAAGAAATGTATCCAGTCAGAAAAAAAGCAATATAATCTGACTTGTAAATGCAATTTCAGAGGAGGTGATTTTATTGCCTGTTTTATGATTTGCTATGTAGAATAGCTGACATTCTTGACCTGGCATGTTTGAATATTTTGTAATAGTTAACTTGAATTAGCAATTCATAGCTCTGAAAACCAGTATCAACGTTTCTTCAGCTATTAACAGGGTTCTTAAAATTACTGAGACTTAATAGTGTTTAAACTACTATAAATAGTTCCTCTTTTCTCCTAGTTAGTTTATGACACATTGTAAAAATATTTAGTATTTTTTGAAAAGTTATTAATCTATTCAAGTTCTATTTTAGAACTAGAACCATGATGGGAAATGCTTTAGTAATAAAATACAACTTATCCATCCATACCCATTTCCAGAAAACATACAGATAAAATATTAAATATGGTCTCTCTAGCACAAAATTAACCACTTATACATATTTTCATAAATGATCAGGTTCTCAAATAGAGATTTGTATTGGAGTTCCAGGGTGGGGCCGGGGGGTGGGGGGTGAGGGGGTGGTCACAAACAGATGTGACTTACTATAACCATTTTCCTACTCTAGTCCAAGCAACTAAGTAAAAATAGATTATATTTTATAGTATCAATATTTCTTGCATGTCTTGGCTCTTCATAATTTTTTATAGCACATTTATGAATAAATCAAAATGTTTCATGTTCACCCCAATTTGAAACTAAAGTGGTCTTCCTTATGTTGATAAAATATTTACGTGTTACAATGTGAGTACTCTCAACTTTCAAAGTTAATGTTCTTAACTTCTCTCTATTTTTATTGATACTTCCCTTCTTCCATTCTGTCTTATAAGTATTCTTCTTACTACAAGTGAAATAACTACCTCAGTCTCTCTTAATATCTTTGGACCTGTTGCCAGCAGTGATCCTCCCTCTGATTTCTGTTCAGCCTGACTCCCTTCATGTGTAATGTCTACACTATTTAGTATCTGAAATATTACCTAATCAATGCATTATGTTTGTCCAATAAAATGTTAAGGTACATGAAAATGTACATAGGAATAATTTTTCAATTATTATGTGAAAAAGCAGAAGGCCAAATGCTATTTACACACTATTAACAACTGGGTTAAAGATACATATGAGTGTGTGTAATGATGAAATTCATTTAGAAACTCTCAAGAAATGTAGAGTTGGCATAATTTTTTTTTTGCTGTAATACTTCTGATATACTTAATAAAAGACTTTGACATGAATCAAATATTAAGAAATAAATTGAGAATAAACCTCATGGCTAATTCTCATCATTTATAGCTGACGTTTTTATCTGTAAAATACTCAACTTAAGGGTGTGACAATCTAAGCTCCATTTTAACTGCTAATTCTTTCAAATGATTTCATAAAATTTGGAGGGACTTCTGTTTCCATTTAGAGAAATGAAAGAGAAATTTCATAAAAATGATAAAAATTTATCTTGAGTAATGTGAAAATTCACAATACTTTACTTTTACATCTGGTAAAATATTTTATGTGCACAGAACAATACATTAAGACATTTTTGCTTCCTTCTTACCTATTTCATCTTTCCTCATGTCTTTCAGCTTATCCACAGTAAGATTTTTTTCTTCTAATCTTGTCAGAATGTGTGGTGGTAAGACTGAAAACTGTCTCAAAGGGCTAGCCCAACCCCACAGCCTCTTGTCGATGACTTTACTAAGATTCAGGAGCTTGTAGGTCATGGCGGGCCAGCGTTTCCTCAAAGCAATTTCAAAAAGAGCACGGACAATTCTAGCTGCATTCTGAAGAATAAAAAGTGGGGACTGGTGCTTAGGTAACATATAGTATTAAATCTGTCAATAAATTTATTATTCAGACTCAGTTTCAAAAGAAGTATGTCAAGCTGCATCCTTTAATTGTGAGCAACATCTATTTTTATTTTTATTTATTTATTATTTTTACTTTTTTAGCTGAGCCATCCTGCCACCTGTTGGCAGCTCAGTGGCTGCTCAGCTCGGGCCGGGCATTGAACTGCTGTTGCTCAGAGCTTACACTCTTGAGCGAGTTCTTAACCAACTGAGCCACTCGGCAGGCCCAGCAACATCTATTTTTATATGACCCTAATATCTTTATTATTTCTACACATGAATAGTTACCTCCTTTATGTGGACATTATCCTGTTTAACTTTCGAAGAGTAGCCTTATTTCCAAGTTCATAGAAAGCTCCTCTCTACACCCCTTAACTAGGAAGGACGTACAGAGACAAAAGGCAAGCAAAGTATTTAGGAGGCTACTGAGGCCATCTAGAATATAAAAGCTTAGTATAGGGAAATGATTCAATTTATAAGGTTATTTAGGGAAATAAAGATGACTTTGGGATCCAGTCAGGGAGGAAAATTAGTGAGAGGAGGGTGACAAAGGAAATATTAATGGCTCCCAAACAACTAGGCAATATGTGAGCTGCTTTACATATATTATCTAATTTAACAACTGCATTTAATTGGTCCTGATGTTATAATTTTATAGATGAAGATACTAAACCTTGGTGAGGTTAATAATTTGACCAAGGTCACACAGATAGTTGGTGTCAGAGTATCTATTCAAATCTAGGTCTAAACAATTCCAAACTTAACTCCAAGATTTCAAATTCAGTGGTCTGAGAATAACTTCGTTAATAGACATATAGAAAGTAACAATGACTGAAGATGGTTTTTTTTACATCTTTACAGTTAGTTTGCATTTGTTTTTGCTCCTTCCCTCTATCATTAACTTCTCAGATTGTTTGATTGAAGACTTTTCAAAATCATGAACTTGGAGAAACCTTACAATATCTAATGATGTCTGTATTTGAAAATGAAGAATGTTTAATCTGGTCAAAATTATAAAAAGAATTGAAAAAGAGCAAAGATTTTGAATAGCAGATGATCTAGTTTGAAATTATGATCATAGAGGTATGGACTTTAGTTTTATTTTATATGAAATGTGTACTTGTCTTTTGACAAATTGACATTTTGCTGCATTAATAGAAATTTAAGAACAAAAATGGTATTTAGAAGTGTGAAGACAGTTCTGATGTCCATTAATAATGACAGGCTGGCTCTCATTAGGCCCAGAATGATAAATAACATTTTGATTATTATGTTTATCAAATAGGTCTTCCTACATCATTCCCATTTGCTCTTGTAAAAAGCTGCCTAGCTAATTTTCCCAACTGAGTTTGAAAGTATATAATTTATATATTTCAGAATTTACAGTTTTCCCTCAAAGCTAAAAGAAACAAAGAGGAAATCCCATGTGACGAGATATAAACAAGATATTTTATCTGGAATGATATAAATTGAGTGGGAATAATGATCAAAATCTCTGACATGTACAGTTTAGAGAAGCTAAATAGAGGCTCTTTTATAAAATCAAAGGACACTTGGAGCCAAGGATTTATCTTAGGGGCTAAAAGAATCAAGTTTCAGAAATACAGAAGGAATTTCTATTGTACAGAGCTGAGAGAGTGCTTGTGGAACTACTGACGGCTTAAACTTAAAATATAAATAAACTCAATAACAATTTATCTAATGCAGTCAATGATGATAAACCTATAATAGCTATTTGAGAAAAACCAGGAATGCTTTGAGATATAACCTTAATGTTCTGAGACTGACTTTCTGGGCACCAATCATGAAGAAACCATAGCTTTTATATTGTAAAGTAATTTGTGCATCACTTTCTGATAATATCTTCATAATCTTGAATCAAGCAGAAATGTGGCCAGGGTATTCATCCAGAACCCAGTAAAGCTTTACATTTTAGTTAAATCACTATTTCAATATAAAATTATTAGAAAATATAAAATTACAATATTATATTACTTTTCAGGAAAATAAATAAACAAAATAAGTTAGAAACGATGGTTCCTACAGAAGGTATAAGTTTAGAGAATAAACATAATTTTTCTATGGCGGAAACATGTTATCCAAGATACCAAAAAACAAAAAGTTTTCACCACATCCACATTTACTTACATATAGTATATGAAATCATCACCTGGTTTCTTGGCTATTTTAAGTTACTACATTCATTTAAATTGTTTACCAACATATCTTGGTTCATGTTTGTAAATTTTCATGTTTATAGTTATATCCAAGCACTCCTGAGTATTCATGGCTGTTTATAATAATCTAACACAAACATACTTTTTTATATTAAGTCTTTGAACAAAATTACAAACATAAGATATATAGTACAATAGTTTCTATATTTAAAATAAGATTAAGCTGTTATTTCTCAACCTAGAGGAGACATTTCTCAATAAAAAGTAATGAAAATGAGGCTGGCCAAGTGGCTCAGTTGGTTAAGAGCTCACTCAAGAGTGCGAGCTCTGAGCAACAGCAGTACGACTCCCAGCCTGAGCTGAGCTAGTGCGAGCTCTGAGCAACAGCAGTACGATTCCCAGCCTGAGCTGAGCTGCTGCTGAGCTGCCAACAGGTGGCAGGATGGCTCAGCTAAAACAAACAACAACAAAAAATAATGAAAATGGTATTCTTTTAAAGTAAAGAATATTCTTAAGAAATGTATGTCTGTAAAGAAAAGTTCTCATCTGAAAGGTAAATATTGCAAAAAATAATCTATTTTACTTCATATAGAGGCTTGAATATAAAAATATAAATATTACAACATTTTATTTATGGTATTTTTAAAAACTTATACATTTAATAAGCTGCAATTTAGGGAATAATTTTCTTTCAGTCCTCAATTTTTAAGCATTAACAGTAGGGAAGGAAGATTTTTTTATTTAATTAATTAATTTATTTTTTACTTTTTTATCGGACACTTGTACTGAATATATAGTCTGAGGTATATATTTATAAAGCCTTATTTAATGGTAAAAAAATTTGTTTGTTTACATTTCTAACATTTGGGGAAAATGGCAATGGTTCCACAATCGTTTCTCTTCGCTTGAAATATTCTTGTACTATCGTCCTTTGTAAGTAAAAGAAATAAACTTAATCATTTAAAGAAAAAAAATCAGATATTGATATTTATAAACTCTAAAATAAAAAAAATAGCAATATTAAAAACAGCCAAACTAAACACCAAATCCCACACCCATTTCTGAGCTAATAACATAGATGACATAAAAGATGTACAAATTAAACAGAACTACTCTAAGACACAATAGTAACTTGGGAGCACGTCATAATGCAATATATTCACAGTATAGCATGAATTAATTCCTGCATCTCTATAAGTAAACAAGGAAGAAAAAAAAAAAGGGAAGGGAATAATAGTCGTACCTGTGCAACATATGCAGAATCTGATATAAGGGAGAAACTGTCCATCTCTCCTCGGCTGATATAAGTTTGAAGTAGGATATTTATTTTCCCATAACTGTTCTCTACACCTCCAGGGGCTGAGAGTTCACAGAAGTTGTTTAATAAGGTATCTAACTCCTCTATTTCCTCTTCTCTGACCTGGAAGAAGCAAAGTTTTATAGATTACTTGGGTTGATTCACTGACACTTTCATATTAAAATTAAACCACATTGCATACTTTTAAAAAGTTTCCATTTGCTATAACTCAACATTTTCCTTTTGTATACTAAAATAATAATTTTTTCCCACAGGTAGCTAATAACATAGAATAAGAAACTATCTTGAGTCTGGTATAATTACATTTTATTATTCATCACCAATATTAAAGTTGCCATTGACATATCAAAATTTGATATGCCACAAAAATTAAATCTTCTGACCTCACCGTCTTTCAATTGATGAGATTTCATTTTTTATTTGACCAGAGTAAAACCTCTGCCCAAATGGATTAGGGCAAACTTGAATTATCTTCAGATGCATTCATTACAGTCATATATTTTTATATGGTATAACACATTCATAGCTTAAAGCTTTGAAGTACTATGATTCAAAGTATTAAAGTTTTCACTGTTAATAAGATTAAATGATAATATGTGTACAGAAAATTCATATGTAAGTTTGCATCATGTATGTCCTTCATATTTTCTTTAGTGAACCATACATTGCATATAAACCAAAATCTATATACTGTATTCTCCAACAGTTTCATTATTGCAAAACCTACTTAAATTATATTTGATTTGCAGTAGAGAGCATAGAATGATGTCAGGTATGACATAATACCATAATCTAGGATAGCGGACACTGTTGATAAATGGAAGAACATTTTGGGTACTCCAGATGTGAAGTGCCATACAGCTTATATTGTGTCAAGAATAACAACTACTTATAAACTTTTATAAATAAATGAATACATATATGTTATATGTATCTGATTCAAGCTTTAAATAATCTTACCTTGATTTGATCAAATTCTTCAGCTTTGGAGACTATAGCAAGGATATCACTTTCTGTTTTGTGAGCGTCAAAGAGTTCATTGAAGGTCTATTGAAGTAAGTGTTATTATATTTGATTAAAATAGGTCCAGTAAAATACTTTAAATTAAAAACGTGACTATAAATAACATATTCTTAAAGAACATTTGAGCCCTAGACAATGCAAAGTTATGATGTCTGTGGCACAGTATCCCAAATTATTGCTTCAAACATCATCAAATTCATCAAGGACAAAAAAAATTCCTAAAACATAATTAGCTAGAAAGGACCTTTAGAAGCAAAAAGAGCAATAAAATCAGTTAATGAAACCTATGTTAGATATCTAAAAACATGTCCCGCATAACATTATGGTCTTGGTTCATTTTCAGCATGGGGATGTAGATATCTACTACCATTCACCAAATTTAAGATGACCATATATCATATAAAATTCAGAGAGGAATAACCAGAAATACTTAACCTAAAGATTCTGATGTAGATACCAAAATATTACTAGTGAGGGAATAGAAAAATTCAGAAAACTAGGAAGAAAAAAATCAACAAAAGGCCATACAAATAAAAACAAAGCTGAAGGAAGGCTACAGTTCCTGAAAGACAGATGCAAACAGGCTTAAGAAGTAGTTTGGCACCAACACACAACCAGGTGGACAAATGAGTAAGAAAGGTTACTCAGTGGACAAAATGAGTGGAAGTGAATAGGTGATGAAAGCAGTAGAGTGTACAGAGAATGTTTTCGGTTGAGGAACCAATGTATCACAGTTTTGAGATAATGTATGTTAAAAGGCTTTGAAGAAACCTAAAGTGCTATACAAATACAAAATTTATTTGAGAAAAGATGAGGAAAAGCTAATAAGCACATGAAAATGTTTCTGAAACCTTCTATATGCATAAGCACATGTTAAATAAGTACAAAACTTAGATTTCATATAGGGCTAAGTTTTCACACGTCTAAAGAAATTTCACTTTGTGATTTCTATTACTTTTCCATTTCAAAGACAATTTTAAGGACAAAAGTAAAAATGAATACAAGAAAAAAATTCAAACTTTCTTTCTATAAGAAGAATAAAGAGTAAAAATTCACCATAACCCATCCCCTTCTCTTCAGAAGTAATCACTGTTAAGTTTTCCCATGTATTAACATATTTATGCACATACACACGCATTAAATACACATGAAGACCTGTATGTACTCTTCAAAATGAAAATATATAGGGGTACCTAGTCCTACAGAAGAAGACTGTGTTAAAAGGCAACAAGCAAGGCTACAGTTATGTAGTCAAAATTTCCTTCAAAAATCTCCTAAATTGCCCAGATGGTATGGCTAGGTTGACTGATAATTTTATTAGTTTTTCTAACTCTTCTTTGGTCAGTGCTTATCAATAACCTGCAATTAACTTTTCAACTTTTTCTTCAAGGATATTATTAAGTTATCACTACCCACTTAAAATCATTCAGGCATTCATTCCATAGGTCTCACCAACACGCTCAACTATTTAGCCTTGGGTATCAACAGGACTGCAAGAAGGTCCTTAATATTTACAGTGTTATTTTTTCTTGTGTTTACTGAGTATATGTTATTGAATTCATGTAAGTCAAAAGCATTTTGTTCTATTAGTAGCTTTTGTTATTTTGCACTAATACTATCTGTTGATATCTAGAAAGTATTTGCATCTAATAGCAAACATATGATTGTATTTGTTCCACTCAGTATAATACCTCAACGGTGCTGTATTTAATATAGAAGTGGCTGGCGGTTCTACCCAAATCAGTTGAGGAAAAATATCCAGTTCGCTCCTCAAAACGAATCATTCTAGCTTTGTCTAGTTTTCGTCCAACTTCAATGACCAACTGTTCTCGATGCTTTGCTAATGCTGGGTCAATCTATAGGGAAAAAAAATATGTAAACATTTAAATATTTCTTTAGATAGTCATCATATTTCTTTAGAGAGTCACCTATACCTATTTATGAAAATTAAAATTTTTGTTGATGTTTTAGTTCAAATAAACTTTATTATAATTTTTAAAGAAGTATATTTTTACAAATTTAGGACATCACTAGAAAATATCTTATTCCATTAAATAAACCAAATAAACCCAAATTTACTTGGATTGAATGGAACGAAACTATAAAATTCATTAAAATTATCAATCTGTATATTATCTTCAGACAGTAATATTTTGGAATCTAAAATTCTTACCTGGTCTTATAATCTTTATAAAGATTAGAAACCAACTATAAGGAAAATACCGTTGTCTTCTCCCTCACACACTAAAATAAACAAGGATTTAAAAATATCAAACCATATTTTTACTTTATCAGTATTTGGAGAAATGATAATGAGGGTGTTTTCCTCTGTGAAAGTAAAAATATACAAAAAAAATGCAAAGTTATCCTTTCAAAAGTATGGTTTTAGTGTTCTAGCAGTTTTCATAACTCAAGATGGGAAAACCCATTTTCTTAATAATAGAATAATAATAATAGTAATAATAATAACAGCAGCAAAGAGTAAAATAATGTGATAATGAATTTTTTATTAGTTTTGAAACTATTGTATTACAGTCGTTTCTAAGTAGAAAGAACATTTATTAACAAGTTTTTTTGCTACTATAATGTGTGTGTGTATGAATATATGTATACACACACACACACACACATGCCAGGTCCTAAAGGTCACTCTCAGAGCAATAAAATGGAATCTGACCACTGAAGGGAAGAAGGGGGAGTATATAGCTAAAATAAATACAAAAATTAGAAAAATGAGGCAAAGGAAAAATCAGCTACAGGAAAGTATGACAGAGTCAAGAATCATATTAGCAAATACAAAAGTCTTAATTATTTGTTAAAAACTATTTGCTTAATTATTTATACAGTGACAAATTGTATATGTCAGGTTTATCTTATGAAAACATTTTATTAATCACATATTACTAAATCATTAAAAATATGTTAAACTGCATGATCTGTGTTGGTTCACACGAGTATTGTGGTTGCAAATTCATATTGACTAATGAAGACACATAAGTAAAAACAAACAAACAAACAAAAAAACGGGAAAGTAAGATTCTCTGAACTGTGAAGGTAGTAAAACTATGTATCCCAGAAGAAAAAAATCATTCTTTATGCTAGAAAATGATATAAAAATGACTTCTGATATTAACCTAGTACTTAAAACATCCATTGATGTGTTTATCTTGTCCAAAGAATTGAGATGGCTTAGCCCATGAGAATACACATTGTTTTATTTTCATTTACCCCTTCAGTATATTTTCATAGTGCCATTGACTATTTTCACAGAGCCATATTTGTGATGAGAATAGCTAGTGCCATATTCTTTAAAACTTTTAAGGTTACAGTTTACAATGCACCTTCATTTTATAATGGACAAGAATTTGGCTCTGAAAGAAAATGTCCATTTGAAGAAAAGGACACATTTTAACTGAGAAGAAAGGTAGTTAAATCCAATTACAGTAATAATTTCAGATTAACAGCATTAGAAATAGTTGTTGCTGTTTTTCATATTTTTTTTCCCTCCCAAGTCTTAAGTTTCAATTTTCCCATGGTCAAATCTATTGTACTGGAAAAGGAAAAATGAAGAGACACAAGATTGGCAACTGTTTTGATAACACAAGAGAATATAAATAAAAACTAAGTTATCAGTTAATGCAGGAAAACTATAATTCTAAGTTAAATTCAACTTGCTTGTTAATTTTGACTTAACATTAGTGAATATCCATGTGATGGTGAAATAATGTTTTCATTAGACAACAACTGGATTCTATCTGTAATTAGAAAGCATTTACAGTGTAAAAAGCGGAGTTCTAAAGAAAAGACAAGATCTCACAGAATCTGTAAGCCACGTGGACCACACAAGTGTAGTGCTCATAGAAATAGCTCCTACCACAGCTATCTGATCTCGGTCTATGTGCACAGTGGAACTGATCCCAGCCTCCAAACTGCTAAGATAATAACTCATTAATGCTACCTTTTAATTTGGAATAAGGACTTAGAGGGACTTAATAAGAGGAACAGAATGCATTTAACATTAGCCTATTATTACAGGTGGTCTGTAAGTTTCTTCATGTCAGGAGTGTTCCAAAAACTAAATCTACCTTGGTTTTAAAAAAAAATAGCAAAGTATTAGTGTTGAATGGAAATAATAAATTGTATGTGAATAATAAATTGAGAATAATATAAAGATGAAGTTATTAGTATCAGTAGGAAAAGAGATATTACAAATAAAGTGAAATAAATGGGGGGCAAATTTAATGTTCCTCAGTATTTTCTAAAAAAGATTACAGCACTTTGTTTTTCTTCCAGATACCTAACTCTTTTCAGATGAGGCAGAAGTAGCAAATATTTATCCTCATACCATGAAAGGATTACAGAACCAAAAAGAAGGTTTGATTTTTTTTTTTAATAAATGAGTTTTTTACCTGATAAGCCTTGTGACTGATGCCATATACTAATGGATTTGCTCTCATCCGTACATAAAGATAAGTGTAACTTATCCACTTCACTGCTTCTTCCACATTAGTAACTGTTCCCAGAGCAATCTGCAAGTCAAAAATATAACCAAAATTAAACTAATGCACTAAAGTTGAATATAAACATTACATCAAAGATCATTTTGTCAAAAGTTGTTTTTAAAACACATCATTATGCTGTATTCAAAAAAAGGTAAGCATGATTATTGGACATGACACTTCTCCAATTAATTAAAAATCAGACCAGGCTAATTTAATTGAGAACAGTACATTAGAAATGCTATCTTTCAAAACTGAACTTACTCAAGACTATGGCATTTGATTAGTTTTTCCTAAATTGATATATAGTTTTTCCTAATTATATATAGCATTAGGAACATTTTTGGTATTCATTTTTCTCCTTCTTGTTTCATTTTTCTTTTGGTTTTCTTTTAGGTGACCACATTACTGAAAATGGAAAATGTAAGTGCACCACAATCAAAACATATTATTGCTATTCTATCCCTCTTTATTGTGATTCTGTGTACTGTCATTACCAAAATAACAGAGGGTGAAACATTAGCTTTTACCTCTAAAGGCAGCTAGTATAAATATACAACATGAATACAGTGGAAAATGCCATCGTTTCTACACTATAACAAAGCATATTTTATTGAGTTTTATACATATTAATAATATATACACTTAAAAAAATCATACAGGAATGGGGGATGGTTTTAACTTTTTACTGGTACGAAAAATTTAAGGAAAAAGTAGATTCTATATATCTGAAGTATAATAAACACTGGATAATTCTTTAGATTATATTCTAAAAGGAAATATAATTTTCAATATAACATTTTAATATAGCTTTATAATGTAATAATTTAATAAAACCAAAAGTTAATTTAAAAGCGCAATGACATATAAGATCTGTGTAATAAAGGGAAGGGAACTGTTAGAAAATGATCTTAATACAGAATTGCAATAAAAAGTTTTCTTAAAAATACATATCCTTAGTCATTGGATCTATAGTCATTTTGCTTGTACGTAAAGTGTGCATTTTAATTTAAAAATTCATCCAAGTAGCGAAACTTCATAGTTGTATAATATTTCCTGAACCTGTAGCTCAAAAAATAATTTTTAACCTCTTACTGTTTTAATCAAAGGAGGAGAGATGCTCCCCACCTACGTTTTTAAATTTTTAAAGAAAAAAAGGAAAAACGAACTCTCTGATTTTAGTACTGAAGTATAAAAAAAATAATAAACTTTTACATTTGTTTTACTCCCATATTATAATTTTAAATTTTACATTACTTTGTGAGATAAATATGAGTACTTTACT